GGCATAAAGTGGTTCCAACAGAGACTGCATCATCGACGGCAGTTCCGCCTGGGGTCCCTGACCTTTTTCCACTCACACGACTTCTCTCAAACACCCGGTATCAGCCTTCCAATTTACAATCTTTCAAACTACATATTAGTATTCTAAGAAAACATAATCAAATCATTCAGCAATCTTTATTCACCCAGCAGCAAATAATTACTCATTGAGGACACGCCAATATTAATAGTAGCACTAACGAACGTCTACACCTGGCTGACAATATTTCCCGCCAGGGTTGGCGGACTAACCTCGGAGTTAAACAATATTACTCCTTTCTCATTCCTGAATTTGCCACGGGTGCGCCAGGTACTGCAGGGCGCATAGAGCAATGGATATGCCAGAACTTTCGAAAGAATAATTTACAATTAATGACGGCAGATGAATCGATAGTGTATGCATTTCCTGGGTTGGCGTGACGTCACTCATCGCGTGAACCAATGAGCGCTGCGCTCTAAAAAAAATCCACTGGTCTTATAAATCGCTAAAATTATTATTCCAAAAACCTGTGAAATGAAGTGAACCGTGCTCGGTTGCTCGCGAATTACGAGTCCTCATTTTTATTGCCATACACAAAAGTGCGCAAATGTTTTTAACTGGAAGTGCAGATTCCGAGAGCGAAAGCAATTCTAAATGCAAGCAGTTCATTTAAAACCGTTAATAAATACATGGAAGACAATGATTTACATTGTCAACAAGTTAACCAAATATCGACAAGGAAGTTGTTTTTAATGATGAACAGACGATGAAAGTTGAACATCTTACGGCCCGAGAGAGCAGCCATTCGGGAATTCAATAAGCTCATAAATACACATCGATGGACTCGGTATGGAACTGGCCTTCATGTTTCATTTAGATGATTATTTGCGCACTTTCTCTTTAACTCCATCTTCGCCTAGGCTGTTTCCGGGTTACGCAGACACTCGCCCCTTCATGCAGGCGTCGGTCGGTCGGTGATCCTGCCCGGGGATGCGTAATTATTTTTTTTCTCTCTCTCTCTTGCTCTCACTCCCTCTCGCTACCTCGTTCTCTCTCGCGCGCTATCTCGTTCTCTCTCGCGCGCTATCTCGTTCTCTCTCGCGCGCTATCTCGTTCTCTCTCGCGCGCTATCTCGTTCTCTCTCGCGCGCTATCTCTTCTCTCTCGCGCGCTATCTCGTCTCTTCTCTCTCTTCTCTCTCTTCTCCTCTCTCTCTCTCTCTCTCTCTCTCTTCTCTCCTCTCTCTCTCTCTCTCTCTCTCTCTCTCTCTTCTCTCTCTCTCTCTCTCTCTCTCTCTCTCTCCTCTCTCTCTCTCTCTCTCTCTCTCTCTCTCTCTCTCTCTCTCTCTCTCTCTCTCTCTCTCTCACCTTTGCTTCTCCTCCTTCTCCCTTACTCCTCTTACGTTACTAATCTTGTCATCATCTCTATATTCCTTCACTTTATTTTCCCTCTTTCCTCACCTCCTTCGCATAAGTTCTGGTGGAGTTGCGTTTGAGGCGGTGCCAACGCCCCTCTTGGCACCGCGCCTGTACCCCCACACCTGTGTATGCCACGCTCTTTTCAGCGTACGACATACGACACACACGCACGCACGCACACACACACGGTACACGCACACACGCACTCGCACACCCATACACGACACGCACACAAAGTGTTTCAGAACACACGAGTAAAGAGACACGCACTTGCCCACAGGCACACACTCATTCTCTGCACTAACGCCCCAAAATATGTGTAGCTGAACTCCAAGCACTGCAGGCCTGACACCCACACCTGCAACACGCACAAATTCTTGCCATGCAACATGCTCTATGAATGCAATGTGCCGGTAATGTAGCTCAAACACGCTCGATCGATACTATCTATTTAAAACAAACGTAAGAAATACTACCCATCTCTCCATTAGAATGAAAAAGAAAGTATTCGAAGCGCCGTTCTGCTTCCCCAGCCATTGCGAGGCTTTCGCTACGAGTCACTGAGTCTGAATTCACCTGAAACTATCTGCAGAAGGACCACCTGGGACACTGCTCTGACTCCACGACGTAAATATAGATGCAAGTTGGTCGTAGATTCATTCTTTCTCTCTCTTTCATTCTGTCCCTGTCTGTCTGTCTGTCTCTGTATCTCTGTATCTCTCTCTGTCTGTCTCTCTCTCTGTCTCTGTATCTCTCTCTCTCTCTGTATCTCCTCTCTCTCTCTCTCTGTCTCTCCTTCTCTCTCGCTCTCTCTCTCTCTCTCTCTCTCTTCTCTCTCTCTCTCCTCTCTCTCTCTCTCTCTCTCTCTCTGTCTGTCTGTCTGTCTGTCTGTCTGTCTGTCTGTCTCTCTCTCTCTCTCTCTCTCTCTCTCTCTCTCTCTCTCTCTCTCTCTCTCTCTCTCTCTCTCTCTCTCTCTCTCTCTCTCTCTCTCTCTCTCTCTCCCTCTCTTCTCTCTGTGTCTCATCTCTCTCTCTCTCTCTCTCTCTCTCTCTCTCTCTCTCTCTC